CGTGGGACACCGACACGTGTGCTGGGAGCGCACGCAGGGCGCGCGCTCTTAGCACATGTTTGTTTACAATAAGTACTCAAATATTGCGTTCCAAATTAACCCCTTCACGCCGGTGCCTCCTGGCCCTTTAAGGGGTTCCTGACGCTGGGAGACGAGGCGGGGGTTTAGGGTCATGTGAACGCCGTGATTGACTGTCACGGCAGTCACATGATCGGAGAGGTCCCAATCGCAAAGAGAGATCGGAACCTTTTTGTGGGACACTGATGCATGTGCTGGGAGCACGCGGGGAGCGCGCTCTCAGCACGTTTGTTTACAAATGGTGCGCAAATATTGCATTCCAAATTAACCCCTTCACACCGGTGCCTCCCGGCCCTTTAAGCTGTTTCTGACGCCGGGAGGTGGGGTTTAGGGTCATGTGACCGGCGCGATTGGCTGTCACAGCAGTCGCATGATCAGAAAGGTCCCGATCGCAACCTTTCCGCGGGACACCGACACGTACTGGGAGCACGCAGGGCGCGCGCTCTCAGCACATGTTTGTTTACAAATGGTACGCAATTATGCGGCTGCTCGGTGTCAAGGCCCAGCCGCCAAGAGGACGCATATTTGCGTACCGTTGGCGTGAAGGGGCTAATCTATTAAAGTGCTGCTGTGCTCAAAGGTGCTGCTCAGAAAAACAGGCAAGCCTCTTACCCAACCAAATTCATCTCAAGCTATAGAGATCAAAGGAGCAGATAGTGTCCACACCCCACACTGACACTCTTAGGGAGGATGGATGGATCACTGCGTGGAACCGGCTTGATCACTTCATACCGCTCTCCGCAGTAATGTATGGAAGGGGTTAAACGAGAAAAAACTTCATAGTGCAACCCCGTTAAAAACAAATGTTTATTCATAGTATTGCACTTACATTCGGATGAGTTAAAGAGAGCAATGGAATGACAAAAGACTAATCAGCCGCGGTGTCAGTCCGTCAGCTTCATGCGTGGTGACGTCACAGAAAGACTTCCCAAAAAATGGCGTCCTCTGGGATTGGAGACCAGTGCAACCTAGTATGCTAAAAACGGGACCTGATTATCGGTGCAATTGATAGCCCCCGCGTGGGCATGTTTTGTTGCCTCTGTTTTATACTGTTCAAAATTAAAATTAATAAAAACCATTGAAACATAAAACCTGAAACTTTTTTCTGACACTACCATGCATTGCGGCATGCTACAATGCAGGCGTGACGGGGGTCTTTTAAAAATAAATGGCCCCGCTATGCAGTAAGACCTTATGTGCATTCCCGCGCATTGCATCACGCACGTTACTCTGGGGAAGTGTAAATGGGCGCTAAAACTTCAGCCAATAGAAGGCAGATTACCGCCCATTCTGTGGGTCTGTTAAAGGGCTGCTAGCTGTATGGGGAGATCTGTTGGGTTACTAAATTTAGAATTATTAGTGTTACAATCCCATCATTCTGATTGGCTGATATTTCTACCAATTATAGGAAAAATATTGATTGCTTTTTTAAAAAAATTATATTGTATCACATTTTTTATTTTCAACTTTTTTGATTGTTACTTTTCTATTACAAATGTGTTTGTTAAAAATACATGAAATAATCAATGTACCTGGCATCACTCAGAATGACCAAAATTCAACCAAAAATACAAAAAAACACCATCTGAAAGCTGAAATGGATTTGGAAATCAATATCATCGGCATTTGTGTTCCATAGAGAATGTCCCGAGTCATGTAATATGTCCAATCTGTGTTGGGGACAATGTATGGGGAGGAATCTGC